CTTTGCATATTCGAGTAAACTAAAGCGTCCGGCGGGCGCCTGCGGCCCTAGAAATTTGCTGCTTGGACATGACAAAAGACTGTACCGGGGCAACACCGTGACTACACCCCACCCTTCTGCTTTGCTTAAGAATTTAAAAAAAAACGAACCCGCGCAGTTTTTTAGTTATATATTTTTTGTCAAACAGTCCTAAAACTTGACTTTTTGCCATTGTTTTCAAAATATCCACCTCTAGGGCCGAAGCAGTGAAAGATACGGCAAATCCGAGGCTAGTTTCTGATTCAGAATGTGCTGTTTTGGGGGGGTACTTCCTCTGACATTTTACGATTGGACGCCTCCTTGTACGTTTTTATGTGCAACGTGGTCATTTTCGCCGTATTTTCGTCGAAAAAAGCACTCTAGCGCCCAAACGATGCCAGATAGAGTCAAACGCACAAAATTTTAGCCCACAGGGCTCTACTTTCACGAGTTACCCCTTAGGAGACCATAAAAAAAATATTTTTTTCCTACTTTTTGGACCAACCCCTATTTCTTTATTACCCCCTTTCACCCCCTTAGGGGTGGTTGCCAGGATTTGCACAGGGCGTTTCGTTGTCCAGGAGTGACCCCTAAGATACCCTGAAATTTGTAGACCTCTAGCTCATCTTCCTCTTACACGGACGACGGACAGACAGACAGACACGAGAGCGGTTGGATAAGCCCGCTTTAATGCTTTTTTAAAAGCAGAAGGGCGGGCTAAAAAACAGAGACGGGCGATGATGATAAGGTCTTTCTTTTGTCGTTTAAGTAGGCATGTGATTGTGGCAAATATTTTTGTAAAAGTAGGGGTCTGTAATTTACCAGTTTACCGCCCAACAGGAGAAAAGTTTTTAATATAGAGCGATATGAAAAGTTCTATTAATTTTCAGAAGGTCCCTTTGTGGCTGGTCAAAGATTACCGTTTTCCTGTTGTGCCTATTTCCCATTATTTTCGTATTTTAGTTTGAAAATGACCTTTTGCTTTTTTTATTGCGACGCAAGCGAGAACGCAAGGGTCGTGAGTGCCGCGATGGATCGATCCAGAGAAGCTTTCGGCCTGCGCAAACTAATCACTGTGGCTTAAACATGCTCGCCACGGTCAGTCGAGAGCCGACCGTGAGCTCGGCCTGTTTCCAGTAAGACAGGCATCGACTCAGACCAAGCAGACAATGCCTTTACGTACATGTGGCCCGTGATGGCACGTCATCATGGATGGGTCATGGGTGAAGAAAACTGTCCTGTGCTTTTGGCTGGTATTTTACACTCAGGTATGTTTAACATTAACCCCAACAAATTTTTCACTAGAGAGGAAATATTCTTCGAATAAAGCTTTTCTTCTTGTTATTAACCACTGTTTGTCTTCCTCCAAGGCATTACGTGTTGGACTTTTACCGGTCGTTTTAGAGTCGATGCGACCACTACCTGCTTGGAGAGCTTACGGGTGTCTTTCCTTTTGGGTGATTGGCACCATTGCCAACGCAACTTTGTTCAGTTTGACATTTGTGAGGTAAAACAACACAGTTACTGCATCGTGTGGACGCTTCCTGGTTTGCAAGACATATGCAAGGTTTGTTAAATTCTCATTTTTGTTCAATAGCTCACCCGATTATATCCTTCTCATGGGAATTTACATGACTACTCTCCTTCTGTTCGCTCTCGCCTCATGGAGAACTGTTTACGATCGCTGGAAAATGTGCGAGACAACACGGTAAGTAAGGATGGTGCCTCCCAGTGAACGTTTCGCGAGGCGACCCTTATGATAGCACCTGCGAAACGCTGGGTAGGCCTGCCCAGAGCACCCGAGTGTCCGGGAAAGAGAACGTTTTGTTGTCCAGCAAGCTCCGCACCACCCCGAGGGCCGTTCATTGTGGAGGCACCTTTTGACTTTGTTGTACAGTATTTAGCAGCTGATACAGTTGATACTTTCTAACACGTACCATGGCCCTCATTTCTGCAGAGCTTTGGTAAGATACTGTAAACGGCATTCTCTCTCGCCTTCATCCTGGCGTTTGCTACTAGTAGCTGCAGTGCTGACGGCTGCTTTTGGCGTAGTCCATTTGGCATGGGCTATTGACACGTTTACCGACTCCCATTTCGCCTTGTGGAACAAGGGTTTCTGGGAAACTGCGTTGTACGCTGTATTCTTCCTCTTGGGATGGCACTATAACCTGGTTTTTGCGACAGTGCTTGTCCCTGTTGTGCTTTTGGCTTCGCTTGTTGCCGATCTACGCCAGAATTGTGAAGAGCTTCTCCAGAACGTCAGTAAAAACCCGGACGCAAAAGATTCGGGGATGCAATCGAATGAGTTCTCTCCAGAGGTAAGGCATATGGGGAGATTCTCGTTTTCTCACAACGTTTTCTTTTCTACTTTTTTCTACAAATAATATTGCATTCTGAACCTATTTTGGACCATATTTTAATTATGTGCGTTTAACAAAACTAATAAATAACATTTTGATTTTGCAGTATGCGCGCTTGCTTTGGAGAAGTATGCGCTGCCAATATCAATCTCTGTTCGATATCTTTTCTGCAACGCGGAACCTTTTGCAATGGCATCTTGTCTATTTGTCGTTCTCTAGCTGTCTATCCTCTGCGCTTCAATTATCAGACTACATTATCTTCTATAACTCAACAACGCCTCGGAGTCGTTTTCAATTGGCACAAATACTATGTCACGCCGTGCGCTTTGTCATGCTTTGCCTCGCATGTCAAAAGTTTCAATCAGAGGTGTGTGCACCATTCACTGTTCAAAATCCTACAGGAAATTCTACAGTTTGCCCTGTCAATTTGTCGCTAGGGTCGCGACTGTAATTTTTGATTACAGTCCACTCCGTACAGGATGTACTGTAACTTCGCCAACCGCCTTTTTGGTCAACACAGCACTTGACTTCAACACTGAAGTACAGCCCATATCATTACAGTCTGGCCTGTACATAAAATATACAGGACGGACCGTAGTCAAACTGTAATTCCTTACAGCATTTTTAACAGTGTTGCCCCACGGGTCCGTGGGCAAGCCTCTATGTGTAAAATGGAGCGCACATTAATGGTGTAGTCAACTTTGTCTTTTCACAGAGCAACGAAATGCGCCAGTCCATGCTCGCATACACATCACAGCTCAGAGAATTTAACCGAGGCAATGAGGTAAGTTGGGCTAGCACCTGTACGACAAGGTGTAATACGCGTCAGATATGAGATGCCTGTAGAAGGCTTGGTTATTTCATTTATATTGTTTGGACAGGTCCACATGTTTGCTGTTCAAATCAAATGTCAGCAGAATGGAATGTGTACGGTGCTATGGTCGTTTGACATTAACTCAGGAACCGCTTTGCAGGTATTTTTTTGTTTGTAGCTACAACTCATGCAATCTCGTTACACCGCGACACACATCTTTTGCCACCCCCACCTAAGGTATAATGTAGTATACATGTACCTATACACGTGCCAGTGAGAAATTCACATCGAAACTAAATCGTTTCGACGTCAAATCCACATTCCACATATTGGACATCGCTTTCGATGTCGACTCAATCCCCAGTCTGCCTTGCAGTCGCCAATGATCAATCAAATATTGACGAAAAATTGACGAAAATTCGTCAAAACGTAACCACAGAAGGAGCGCCACATTTTCATCAAATTGATATGATTGATCACTGGAGACTATGGGACCTGGGACGTCTTATTTTGTCCAACATATATTGTTTGTGCTGTTTCAGATGTTGTCCGCCATAGTTTCCTATACTATCGTCATGCGCCAGAGTGACATCCACTTTTATGAAACATGAGGATTAGTTACAAACTTTTAAAATTGGTATCTAGATCTGGATACCTTTTATTGATTAAATACATTGCAACAAAACGGCATTCTCGAGATGCCGTTTTGTTGCAATGAATTTAATCAATAAAAGAAATTTGGGTACTCGTGCGTTGCTAGATGTCCTGGAGCACCCGTTGGGGTCCCAAAAAGGTGAATCGTGGCTCCACGGTAAAAACAATATCTCAATTTTTGAGGGGAAAGGGAAAATTTTGAGGAGCTCCCTAGGTTCGAGGAAAGCTCCTCAGATTTCGAGGAAGTCTGATCGAAAAATGTGGGATATTTCCTCATTTTTTGAGGACGTTCGTCAACATCTGAGACGAGATCTGAAGAGTTTTCCTCAAATATGAAAAATCCTCAAAGTTTTCCCTTTTTCCTCAAAAAATTAGACATCGTTTTTACCGTGTCTCGTCATACGGAATGGCCATTCGAATGGCTGAGTTCTTGGCCTTTGTGTTGTGCCAACACCATTTTTGTGTTTGCTACTCACCGGGTGGCCAGCCAGTTAAGTAATATATATGTTAAGTCTTGGGTATCATCTACAAGGCTCGTCCCCGCAACTGAGCCCCCGTGTGACCGTGTTCTATAGGAGATACAGTCTTGGGGACTTTCTAAAAAATTGCTGAACGCTTGAATTTAAGAAGAACCCCTCATACAGTGCGAGACCCCGTACTCACGCGTGCAGCCTGCGCAGGCCGGAGGGTTGCGGCGGGGGCGTCTGCGGCTGGCTGCCGGCGCTGGCCGACGGCAGCTCCACGCTCACGTTGTGCAGCTTCTCCTGCTCGCGCTCGAAGTAGGCGTACAGCTGGTTGGTCCACTCGCCCACGCCGCGGATGTGCAGCCACATGTAGTCCTCCTGCTCGGGCGCGCTCGAGACGTTGAAGGGGTGCCACTCGTACACGGCGATGGAGGGGATGTTGACGAACACGTAGTCGCCCGTGTGGAAGTCGAAGTGCGGCGGCCGCTTGATGACGAGGTGCGTGACGCGCGACGGCAGCAGCAGCCCGGACGAGATGTACGTCTTGCCGCGCTCCGTGCGCATCCACGTGAAGCGCAGCAGGCGCTCGATGAGGAAGAGCACGCCGGGGCCCAGGAACCACTTCCAGAAGTTGGAGCCGTGGAAGACGAGCAGCGCCCAGAACGGCACGTACAGCAGGTGCGTCCAGTAGAAGATCTGCGGGGGGGGG